TAACAATCATTTTGGTTTCATGCACCAAGATTGTTTTAATATCTTGGCGCTGACCTACCACAATGGGGTAGAATGAAATGTTGTATTTATGCTTCAATTATTAAAATCTTGAGTCATGGTAACGACACCCAAGTAACGTAAAGACCCGTGAACTTAAGGGTGGCGAACGTAACTATAAACAACATCAGTAAAAGTCCAGCCAGGGACCATGCTTATGAAATACCACAAAACCTAGGCAGATAATAAAAAAATGTAAAGTACTTTTACCGCAAAGTATATGTTAGCTGAGGCGGCCTCAGGTTAAGTTGACGCCATAATAGTAGCTTATCTTATAAAAAATGTAATAAATCAAATCTGACTACAAAACAACAAGCCTTAGTACTCACTTAACATTTTTTATTTTAAGACTAAAAAAGAAAGAAAAAATCAACCCAATGAAAAAAAAAGTAAAAATTATCATAAAGTGAGTCAAACGGATAAGGGAAATCATAATTTGACTTACTTATTTTGACTAATTTATCATGTTTTTCTTTCTTTTTAATGGCAGCAATTGTCTTTCATACATATTATATTAGAGAATGTGGAACAAATAATTATTCTGTTGTGAAATATTCTTATTATGTCTTCATTACTGACAATTAATGGATTCTCCATGTGTACACCTGCAGAAAAGCAGCCAATTTGATTGACATGACAGTGAGCATGTCATTATTTTCTTTTGTATATGCAGGTGCCTGGCTGTGTGCATTTCTGCCTAATGTGTGTGTGTGTTCGTGCAAAGATGAGACCCGTCTGTCTGCTGCTCTCTCAGATTGCACCCATGAGAGCTCCCAAAATAACAACAAAGAGCACTCAGTGGGTCGGATGAAAGCCCTGTCACCAACCATTTCTGCACACAGAGTCTCCTCCCCTACTGTATCTCTGAGTGACACCTCACACATCACATGGAGACAGGAAGGGGAGACAGTACCTTGTATTTGACCGCCACAAATGTTTCCATATGTTAATGAGATTGTTGTTAGCTTTTAGCAGGGGGCAAGTGGGTTCTGATTGTGAGCTAAATGGTGATGTTGTCGCTATTACACTGTGAGCGATATGATATACACGTAGTAATTATGTTCTAGTTTTTTGTTTCTTTAAAGTATTAGTTAAACACATTGGGAAATACCCTTATTCGCTTCCCCTCAAAACAAATACAACCACATATTGATATCACCAGTGGTGTAAAGTAAATAGGCACATTCACTCAAGTACAATCTTGAGGGGTTACTTGAGTATTTACATTTTGTGTTACTTTGTACTTCTACCCAACTACAATTAGGAGGTACATTGTGTACTTTTACTCCACTACATTTATTTGATACCTTTAGTTACTTTACAGATTTGGAACAATGATGTGAAATATAATAAACTCTTAAAAAAGACTTTAGTTGCACCTGGAGTACATTTCACAAGCTAACCTGCAGCAAACAAAGTAATTCAGACTAACTGCACCTTTACCAGCTTTGATAACACTTAAATGCATCACTAATTATGATCAAAACATGATACATATTGTTCTGAAATGGGCCAATCTGCTTAATGAGTACTTTTTTAACTTTTACTTGAGTAACATTTGATTGCAGGACTTTTACTTGTAACATAGTATTCCCACACTCTTGTTATTCTACTTTAAATTAAATACAAGATCTGACTTCTTCCACCTCTGAATACCACTCTTCCCTAAGCTAAAGTCAGGAAGGAGTTAGCTTAGCTTAGCTAGAAACTGGAAACGGCTAGCCATGGCTATTTCTAAAGTTCAAAATTATGCCTATTAATACCTCTCCAATGTAATATCTTGTTTTAGTAGTTCATACACAAACAGAAATGTAAAAGGTTGTGTTTTTTTACATACTGTACCTCCAGCAGTCCTTGGGTCACCATGAGGTTTCCATGTAGGCTAACTAGCAGGGAGTTTCCAGGGAGTCTCAGTAGCCTACTGATAATCCTCAAGAAATACTTCTAGCATGAAGGCCTGACTCCTTTTAAAACCTCAACTTGTTGTTTAATATGTATGTTTGTGGACTGGTTAGCAAAAAAATAAATTAGTGAGCGTTAGAGCTGCGTGCAATTGGCGTGTTTTTGAAATGTTGTACAGAGCAAGACAGACTAAATGCTTCTCCTTGTCTACATGCTTTATGCTAAGCTACAGTTAGCTACTCCATTTCTACTGATTAGCATATGGCACAGGTGGTAGGCTATCAATTTTTCTTCTAACTCCCAGGAAGAATCTGGATCTATTGGGATAATTTAAACAAATTAAAATCAAAACGTTTAAATCAGGCATATAAAAAAACACTACTTTCACATAGTCCCAACCAGCAGTTAAATCTACAGTGAAAACCCAAATCTGCTACTGATGTCAGGCCAGAAAAGTACAAACGGCAGCGAAGGACTCCATTGTTATTTCTAACTGGTAGAAGCCCCGAGGTTATTTTTCCTCTGCCTTGAAACAAATCAATGAAGCACGACTCACTTTGAACAATTTCACATTTGCTGAAATCAGATGTGGGTGGAGGAGCCAGCCATCATCGAGCTTATTCTGTTTGTTGACAGAGGAGGACTTTGAAAAACAAGCCTGTTCTTTGAAACAGGTGCCCAAGCATGAGTTCTGTTTTTTTGAGAAGCAAATATAAAAAACTGAGTGATTAGAGAGTTAGAGAGTGTTTGTTATTCTGCTTGCGACCATTTGGATTCTGTGTATCCTTCACAAAGTCACAGAGATGCTTTCGGTATACACAAAGATACTTTATATTGTTTAACTAAAAGTCTGATATGGGTATTTGCAACATTTCAAATACCTCAGTATTTCCTGTCAATTTGATAAGAGTGTCAACAACCAATATAACTTGATAAAATCAGCCTCTCGTGGAGTTTCTTTTAGCCAATGTGGCCCCCAAGTGGTTACACTAGAAGTTACACGAAACTTACAAGTTTACACCACAAGGCAAGCCATATATTAAATCCCATTAAACTGTGCACCCATAATTGTTCAGGCTTTGATTACATCATTCTTATTTAATGTATAGCCTCCTTTCTCAACTGTATAACTGAACTTGTGACTTTTCCATGATGTGTTCTCACTGACTGTTACCATTGAACATAACATGCAGTCCACTCAGTTCACAAACCCAGCTTATCCCCACTATCAACATGTGGAAGTGTTTTCAAATCGCTATCTACTAGCAGCAAATGGTTTTAAATCAGTCATTTTAATATCAAAGCACTTAACACTAGAATGATGATTACTTGCAGGTGGATATCCATGCTGCTTGTCAAGACTGCATTTGAAGAAAATGACTGAGCTCTTATCCGACACGTACAGTACTGCCAGTGTTCAATAGGCAAGATCACATTACAGAAGATTACTTTGGAGTTTCAGCAATTTTCCCAAATTACACTGGCCTTTGGTCTCTGGTAAACTTGATTGACTTGAATGGTTTTCATTAGAAGAGCCTTGCAAAGGCTTTGGAGTTGATACTTGTACACAAAAGTCAAGGCGTTTGAGGGTGAATGGGTGCAGATGGGACACTGGAAGTGAACGGTTATGCAGATTCTTTCATGGAAATGCTTCATCATGTTTTAAGGGAACAAGAGACTCAGTTGTTTGATTTGTCACGCTAATCTATGTTTCACCAGCTTGACGTTCTCCTGATACACAACAATCTGGTGTCCTAAAAAAGAACTGATCAGTAATGCAATGTGTATGAAGTACCAGATTTATTGAATCAATACAGACTTTCACAATCATTGTGGCAGGAAAGTATTGCAATATATTATGTTTTGATGCATTCAATGTGTGTAAAGAATAAAATAAACCTTATGTGATTTACACTGTCATATTTGAACTTAGGTCCACCCTCCCCCTGTCTCTCCTCATCAAAAGAAGAAAATCTGAGTAATGGAAATCAATTAGATGTCACAAAGAGCATGAGCCCAGACTGACAAGAAAATAGCCATGAATAACATGACCACCCTTATTACCCTTCTAAGAAAATACTGAAGAGAGGGATCCAAAATGAAAAGTAGTCCGGATACACTTTCTGTGTCACAAAGAATAAGATATATTTTTTCTGGCCAGAGATATTCCCACACTCCCATCAGCTGTTTGGCTGCTTTAAAACTCATGCAGTATATCTTTGAGGAATTAAGGCATGCTGAAATATGTTTCTATGCGCAAATGAATTCCCTAGCTTGGAAACATTAAGTTAATTTTGAAAGCTTACTTTCACTTAATGTGCAAACTATCTCCATACACATTCGCTGGAAATAATTAAACAGTAACTCTTTGTTTCTCCAAGTATTCTGGAGAGATCTGCAGGTTTACGCTGCCATCTTGAGGAGATTTATTGACACAGCGAGGTTTTACAGCACTGTCCATTTCTTTTAACTGCAAAATAAATATTTGGGTTTCTTTCAAAAGTATCAAATATCACTTAGCTGCGCCTACTGTAAGTTAAGATGTGACAAGCAAAGTATTTTCTCTGCAGCTTTAATTTGGGGAAGATTAGCGTCAGAGAATAGGTGGTCGGAGTTTGATCATTCTTTGCAAAAAAGGGCAATTATGATCAAACAGACCAAATGTGGCAATAATGTACGCTGTGTTTAAATAGTGCATACAAGAGCAAGATGAATGCTGCACATGTACTTCAGAGAATGGTCTGACATGACTCCATTGAAGAAGGCTTGGGTTGGTAATCACTGGAAATCTGCCTCCTATAAAGTTGATGTAAACATGAAGTCATGTCCATAGGGGAGACGAATAATCTGTACAAATGCCACTTAGGCGTTAATGCTGCTTACATTTTTGTTATTTCTTCCGTTACTCTCATTGCCTCCATATTGCATCATCATAATATGACACTTCAGAGTTTTTAAGAGGCAGGATGAACTCTCCAGCCACAGCCGTCATCCAGCGGACCACAGTGTGAATGTTTTTGGAATGAGGAATCTACACAGAGTTCACAGAAAGATACTTTTATGTTTAGCTGTAAAAAGTACAAGCAACAATAAAAAGATAATACACATTTTTTATCAACATAAATAATAAATGAACTACCCTTCATTATATACAATTATTCAAATTAAACCCTAATGAATAAGTACTTGTATATTTAATCATTTAAACAATCTGAAAGTGGCTATCTTGTATTATGAACTTTTCATTTTGGTGATTAGTTACATTTTCCTGATAATGCTTTGTATTATCTATTGTACTCCTACCTTTACAAAAGTAAAGGCTCTTATCATTTCTGAAAAACTAAACAAAGGCCTTCTGTCAATATCAAATCAATGAAAAACATGATCATTAGTGTGCATTATTCAAATGCTAAATTTGAATCCCATAAAATCATCAAGGAAGTACATAGAGTGAACAATTTGCATGTCCCCAAATCAGAGTTTACAGAGAGTCTGAGTACTGGTTATCTGTCCCTAAGGTCCAACAAAAAAACAATTTACGGACCTTAGAGCACAAGAAAATGATTTAATGATTTATAAAAGATATCTCTGTTATGGTCCAATACCTAAATAATTAACTGATATTTGGTCCGTCACGCTTTGATGCAGAGCATAGCATCCAGGAGGTTTCCTGTATGTCTGACATGTGCCGTTATGAAGCCGTGGCTCTTCAAAAGCAGACTGTATTCGGTGGCGCTCCTCTGTTTCCCCTCGCCCATGCCGAGGGCCTGGAGCAGCCCACGACTAGGGCCCTTTCTGTCTTCATCCAGGAAGATCTCACTCAGCAGGAGCCCGCAGCCTGGCAGCATGGAGCAAGTGCATGATGTGTAAGTAGATGTACAACTTTATAAAAGTAGGTGGTTGTTTTTAAACCCTGGCCCCCCTTGCATTCATTTGCTTTAGAAAAAGACTAAAGTACAAGAAGGTAAACAAAAGGGGCGATATTAAGTATTTTGGCTTGGCTATGAAATCGCCTTCCTTTTTGCTAAATGCCACAACAACAGATTTGTTATCAGTTCAACACTGACAAAAACAGGTGACAGCAGCAGCAGTTCCACAGACACTGCAGGTTATTGAAACCAAAGTGAACTGTAGCCGATCTTAGATATGATCTTATCAGAATGTGGGTTGCTGTAAGTTTCACATGAGATTTTCCATGACTGAGAATGTTATACTAATCATAAATAAAGTATTGTTATCAGTCAAGTATGGAGTAAAAAACTGTAAGAGTTTTACCTGGTGTGCATGCATCCGCGATTTTGCTCAGCAGAATATCCAATTTCTCATCGGAGCAGTCGTGGAGAATTCTTGCCAGGATGTACAAGTCTGCTTTCGGCAAATCATCTTTAAAGAAGTCTCCTGTTGATACAGAGGAGCCATAATACATAAGTTAGGACCATAGAGAGAGTGAGATTATAACTTTGATATTTGAGACCCACAGAATAAGCTGCATTAGTCAGAGTTTATTTGAATGATGATACGCAAACTGACCTGCTACAAATGACACCCTGTTGTCTGTGTGCAGAGGTTGGAAATGTTCCCTCAGCTGAACAACTGTTGGCAAGTCAAAAACTGTCACAGACAATCCAGGATGGGCTTTAGTGAACTCGTCGGCCATGGCCCCAGTGCATCCTGGAAAAAACAAAAATATGTTTTGTAAAGGAATGGTTTATTACTCAAAGACACCATTTTAAACCTTAAGTGTCTCTCCTTACCTCCAAGGTCGCAGGCAGTTCTAAAACTTGAGAGGTCAAAGGCTGTTGCTATAGCTTTCCCTGTAACCTTAGCAATGTTGTGCATGGCATTCATGAATCTCAGTTTGCTGTCTTGGCTGCTGTGGAGAGTGTCCTTTAAATAGAAACAAATGACATAGTGGAACAACAAAAATAGAATCTGTAAAGTGTGTCTCTCCCCACATTTTATCCATCTGAACATAGAGATAATCACCTGGTCCTTGGATGTCTGGCTTAAAGCCTTGTCACGCTGGCTGACTCCTTCCAGTACGCCACTCTCAAGGTGGGAGAAAATAGGCCACACTGTGTCGTTACAATGCAGAATTTGGCTCCGCAGCGAAAAAGGAGCATCCGACAGCAAAAAGCGAGTGGACAGATCCGTGTTCTCGTACACTGGAGTGGAGACACAATAAAACATGAGGTTTGTTTTAAGTTAAGTACTAATCGCTGTCTCTTTAAATAACCATCATCGTATCTGACTAACTTCTCTCTTTGCTCCTCAGCAGACCCAGAGACACACAGGCCTCCAGCAGGCATTCAGTGCCCTTCAGGGAGGCTTTGATCTCCTGGGCCACCTGTGCTGCTTCCAGCCCCCCCGGCCTGCTGTGCAGCACGTCAAACACACACATCTTGGATGCCGTAAACAGTGCCTGGATTTTTGGAAAAGGAAGAATAGATACAGAAGCAAAGTGTGACTTTATTTTCTGAATCGGATTGTGAATTCAAGATTGTTTTATACTTGTAGATTGTGAAGACCATGAGAAACATCCAAATTGTTAAAAAAAATTATTTAAAAAAGGAACCTTGTGAATACAAAAATGTCCTTATTTTACACTTTTCTTTGGTTTTGATTATATATATATATATATATATATTTTTTTTTTTTATGTATTTGAATGGATAAGAGGTGTTTGATTTTTTTTATATCCATCAACTTAATTTGTGTATCATTATGTCTCCTAAGCAGACATCAAGGCTGTGGCTTAATACTATAAATACATATATGATGTAATGTTGCTTCATTACATCCTCTATAAGTAAACACAACAATGACTTACATTAATATTTCAATATGAAAAATATCCTTTATCAACATATGAATACCAGGTTTATTCCTAATTACCTTTGAGGCTCTAAATCCATCCAATAAATCACAGATTCGCTGCAAGTCTTCTTTTTTTGGTTCACCGTCCTCAGGCTCCTTTACCTGCCCTCTGCTGGTCATCGGTGGTAGTTTTGTATTCGCAGAATCTTTGTCACCGGTATGTTTGGACAGGCTGTTGACCAACGTCATAGAACTCTCATTCAATTCAGTTTCACTGCTTTTCCTCTTCACCTATAAAAGGGGAGACTGTTACTTATACATAAAAGACAAAAGAGTCATCAGGTTGCTTATAGGGCGAGAAAACTAACCTTATGCACAGGACTGGCTGACGGGCTGCTCTGGATGTGGTGTGTATGGTTGGCAGATGAAGGCTGAGTGAGATTGGAGGTAGCGTGATTGCCGTTGTGGCTCAGCCAGACGGTTGAACTTTCTTGGTCCGAGGAGGAAGTAGAGGAGTTGTAAATAAGGTCCAACTGCTTGCAGAAGTGGTTGAGGGGGAAACCCACAACATTGAGGAAGTCTCCATGAACGTACTCTACAAGCATTCCACCGAGAGCCTGAATACCGTAGCCTCCAGCCTTGTCCCTGACACACACAGAATCAAACATGTCATTATAAAGCAACATGAACACACAACATGTACACATACACAAATAGGTTGTTGTGAAATGACACTTCCCCAATCTCAATCTCAATCTTTATTTATTTATATAGCACATTTAAAACAACCTTCAGTTGACCAAAGTGCTGTACAGGCAATACATATTAAATAACACAATGGGAGTACAATAATAAAACAATAATTAAAAACATGATAAAAAGCACAATAACTAGAATTTTTTTTTTTTAAAACACATACAAATGTAAAAATGTAATGTTCAACTAGTATTAAAAGCCAGTGCAAAGAGGTGGGTTTTTAGCTGAGATTTAAAAAGTTCAATTGACTCAGCAGTCCGGATATGTACTGGGAGGCTGTTCCACAGTCTGGGAGCTGCAACACTGAAAGCCCTGTCACCTCGGGTCTTTTTCCTGCACCGAGGAACCACCAACATATTCTGCTGAGCTGATCGCAATGCTCTAGCTGGAGCATGGCGGTGCAACAACTCAGACAGGTAATGTGGTGCCAGTCCATGCAATGATTTAAAAACAACAAGTAAGTACTTGAACTGGATCCTGTAACTGACAGGAAGCCAATGAAGGTCTGCCAAAATGGGTGTGATGTGGTCATAACGTCTCTTCCCAGTAAGAAGGCGTATGACGCATTTTGAGATTGTTGTGAAATGACACTTCCTCAAGGATTCAAGGCTTTTATGGTCATATGTACATAGCTACAGTGTAATTATGACAATTACATTCTTAGGTCACAGGCTCCTCCAACAGCGCAACACAATAAAACAGATAATAGTGCAAGTAAATAAAAATTAAATTAAATATAATAGAAATTGTGCAAAATAGTCTATATACAAGTAATTGGAATATTGATCTATATAAGTTACAACCAGATGAATGTTATGGATGTTAGGGCTGTGCAATTAATCGTATTTTAATCGCAATTACGATTTTGGCCTGCCACAATTACGAAAACAACATAATCGAAAAAAACAATTATTTTGCTTTGCTAGGTTGTGACAGTGCACTGCAACATATTTGATCTCATTAATTTTGGTCTCATTTATTTGTATTCATCATATTTATATATGTTTAGTAGCTTGGGGAAGTGCGCTCCAAAATATTTGTTGATCTTGTTGATTGGTATTTATTATTTTGATATTATTTATTTAAAATGTATCATTTATTTTTGTATTGGTTTTTCAGTTGAATTACACGTTCAGGGTAATCAACAGTTAAAAAGATACTGTTCAAATTATTATTTGTATTTGTTTTCAAGTTCAATAAATGGATTTTTTCAAAGTCAGTGAATAATCGTATTTAATAATCGTGATATCAATTATTGACCCAAATAATCGTGATTATGATTTTTGCCATAATCGCACAGCCCTAATGGATGTTCTTTGAAAAGTTCAGTTCTTATTTTGCTTCTTCTTTAAATGCAGAACAAATCAAATAATATAACCTCACTGACCCAAGTAGAGATTTTATTTTGTGCTGACACATTGTCTGTTTCAAAGTTGGAAAGGCAAACACATCTGACAAAAAAAATCAATCATCAAAGTCCAAAAAGCAACAGGTTCATGAAGAACCCACTTAAATGACCTCCACTGAACAAATGATAGGTTAAGTAACCACACCAAGATAAATCAATAGCTACTGTATTACACATGTGACAGGTCAAATGGTCATACTCACATGGGTTCACCGCTATTGATGTACTCCCACAGCATATTTTCCGAAAGATCAGCAAACTTCACTTTTGTTTCTTCGTAGAAATCAATCAACTGGTAGTCCACTTCTTCGTCTGGGGAGCAGGGAGGTTTTGAAATTATATGTGTCAAACACTGGAATCATTTGTCCAGTAGGGTCCCCCCATATATATTATAATATCCTAGTATTAAATCCTACATTATAATTACTGTACTTTTATTCTCAAAGACAAAGACACTAAAAATAGAAAATAAAAAAACTACCTGAAATGACTTTGCGTCATCAAATTTCTACAGAAAACAAACTGAAAATAACCTTCAATTGTACTTACTTTCTTTCTCATGGCAGAGGACAATCGCTACACCGGTGACGACACTGTGCTCTTTACCACTCAAGCTGACAGGGAGAATTAAAGAAAAGAGGAACTGTAAACCAATACCAGCAGTTTCACATGTTAATTCTGTAAATGACACTCACCTCGAAAGCATTCTGTAAGCATCATCTTTGTCCACAGGTTTCTCCAGAATCATGCCATCTACAGTCTGTGGAAATGAAAAACACAAGTAAATACATAATGTAATATACCTGGTAAATCGTGGCCAAATTCTAACGTGGATCGTAAGCTGTGTCTATAATGGGAACTTGTGGATATAAAATCTGTAATTATCTGTCATGGCCCCAGAAAAATGTGTTTTAAAAAAAGCATATAATATGACATGGTTAAGCTACTTTGGAGATACATAATTAAGGACTGCTATCATTTTAAATAATAAAATATATATATATATATATATATATATATATATATATATATAAATAAATAAAATCATGCTAATTTCAGGAAATGTTTGTTCTGGTCTATTCAATTGTTATTGTGTAATGAATGTTAAATCCCATGAAAATGATGAATATGCCCACAGCCTCAAATGTAAGCCTAATGTAAGCAGAGCAGGATAACTCACCTGTTTCAGCACACACTACAATATATACTGTTTATTATTTATTAAACCAGTCACCACACTTCAAATATAGGCTTAAAACGCCATGTTTGAACACATATACAGGAAATTATAAATGGATACAGAAGAAAAAAACTGGCACCAATGCTGTTCTGAGGTCCAGCAAACACATACAACATGTATTGCACAGAGAAAGAAACAAAAGCTTTCTTCCTCTTACCACAATAGTGTCCGCTCCGATTACGATGTCTGGAGTCTTCAGGTGTTTCTAGAGCAAAGTAATCGACACTAAGTTATGAAAATGTAATCAAATATAATGATAATAGATATACTGTCATGCAAAAAGGAGTTGCTCTCACAAAGGGCATCCTGCGGGCCACCTCCAGGGCTTTCTGTCTGGCTGTCTCCACAGCATACTCATGAGGGGCTTTGAAAAGCCCCTTGTCAAGAGTTTCCTTGAACCAGGATGGAACCACCTGGAGCCGTAAGCCCTGAAGTGTAGGAGAGGAGAAACGAAAACGATATATAATTATACTTTTGTATAGTCTTATTTATCTGTGCGACTACTGAAAAAGATTAGCCTGGCATATTATCAGAAATGTTATTAATATGCACTTTTCCTGTTAACTTATAAACTAAAAACCTAATGAGGATATATACAGGGTAAATATAAAACGGTTGTAAAACATATCAGTGTTCGCAGTGTTTACCTTATAAAAGGCAATCAATTTACCATGAACACATATTCTTTAGGCTACATCAATGTATATAATGTGATGATCTGATGTTGGGCAATCCATCAGTCTAGTTATGAATAAAATACACATTCTCAATCATTTTTATTTAGCCCAGTGTTTCTCAACCTTATGTTATGATTGCACATGAGCTTGCCTGGTATACAGATTGGATCAAGAGAGTTTTAAAGATACACAAAGTTACTTTGATTCATACATGTTGCATACATTTTCATAATGGCTTGACAACCTAAGAGTAAAAAAGTGACAGACTGAAAAAAGGGAAACCTTGATCCAGCGCTACTCAGTATGTAACAATTGCATCTGTTCATAAACAAAATGTGCAGGTGTTGTGATATACATACAGTATATATATATATATATATATATATATATATATATATATAAATATAATTCCTATAACTTTAACCAGGATGCAACATACCGCATTGTTGAGAATCTCCAGTCTCCTAGGAGAAGCACTGGCCAGAACAACCAGTTTACCAGAAAGCTTGGAAATGACAGGGTTCAGTACCATGGTGACCTTCTAGTCTCACCGCTCCTGGAGTGATGAACAGAGTTAAACATTACAGAGGTTGCACAATGTATAGCTGAGTGATTCATTGACTTAATGATCTATCAATCAACATGACAATCAATTATGATGAGAAATGATTTACTGAAGTAACTAGTTTGTTTGTTTGTAGCCTTTATTTAACCAGGTTAAAAAATCCCATTGAGATCAACGATCTCTTTTTCAAGGGAGACCTGCGGTACATTAGTTACACATAAAAACAACAGAAAACAAAAGGACATCACAACATAATTACAGGGGTATACATTAGCAACCTATTTACAGTGACAGGTATCCAATAACATTTCATCCAGCCGTGCTTTAAAATGATGCAAGGGAATCAAAATGCTCAGTTTCAATGTTTTTTGCATAGTGTTCCAAGCTAGAGGAGCAGCGCACAACAGTAGTTAAGATAAATACAAAACATTCACTGGTCAAAGGATCTAAAATGTGAGAGTTTGCTGCTTTTAATCATTTTAAATTACATTATTTTGGTTTTAAGGAAAACAAGCACATTCCTTCGTGCGATGGGATATTATAATGGTTATTTTAGTTTTGTGTTTTTAAGGTAATCGTTCGTTTTTAGGCCAATTCCCATGCATACTGCAGAGAATTAAGTACTGCATTAAAAAAATACAATGAGCAGAGCTGCTGTAAAGAACTGTAAATACACTTACTGTAACTACACAGGGTCATTTAATGCATAAACTATGCATTAAACTACTGCTGCACAGAGATTGTTATTTAGACAAAGTTAAACCTTTCCCAAACAACTGTGCCTCATGAAACAGTGTTTCACGTCACTTTACACATTTACACACATAATTACTACTTCTCTGAACACAGACACTTCACGTTAAACAAGTAACTTTGAATAAGAACCTTACATGTGTTAACATACGACATGCATAGTTAAAACTCTGCTCTCCTTAATGTGTTAACTTGTGTTAGCTAGCAGCTAGTACGTTTTCTCCCTGTGACGTTTGGTGAGTAAGTTCACCACCCATAAAGTGAATTTGTTGAGTAAACAAACAAATGTTATAATAAGTTTCATTGTCTGGGAGAAACATTACAGTAGATATGCAGCAAAACTATTACCTTGTCCTGTCTGTAGACCGAGAGTGATAGCTGCTTGCTACGACCAGCAACGTCACCGCGCATGCGTGATCACGTTTCAAAAGGTGGGCGGATCCACCATTCCCACAGCTTCAAAGCATGGATGTATAAAGTTTAAATAAACAGAGCCTACTATGACTACTTGTTCATACCTGTTAATAATAATACAAATAATAATAATAATAATAATAATAATAGGTTGTAGAGAACAAAACAAATAAAAGTAAGAACAAAGGTAAAGAAAAGTCTACTTGCTCGTAGCAATTTATAGTTCAACAGACAGACACACCGGGCACACACACACACGCACACACACACACACACACACACACACACACACACCACACACACACACACACACACACACACACACACACACACACACACACACACACACACACACACACACACACACACACACACATCACACACACACACACACACACACACACACACACACACACACACACACACACACACACACACACACACACACACACACACACAGCAATAATAAGAAAATACAAATTAAGAAAAGGCTTATATAATATGTTAAAATGAGTTTATTTATTTACATGCTATATATTTTTTGTCAAAAAATAAATTCTGTGATTCTTGTGGCAAAAATACACAATCTCTACAATAATAATGTTTTCATATTTAAAAGAAAAAACATACAATAAGTCAAATGGCTCAGCTGTTTCCTGTTCATTTTCATTTGTCCGTCACACGCAGGGAAAGTAAAATAATTATGAAAAGCTTGACCCACTCGGAAAGCCCTCACTTTTACGGTTTCTGTCTCGCTCTCACTTCCCTTATCACGTCTCTCATGCCACACTCTTATCTGTTCCACTGATTCTGTCTCTCTATGCTGTGGAATATACCTTGGTGTGTTCTCTCTCTGAACTATCTAAATGTGCTGAGTAAAAACTCTCTTTATGCTTCATCTTCATTGAATCCACACTAGTCACACTCGTCAGATTCATTAGCTTTCGCAGCTTTTGTCTGAACTCCTTGCAAGCAAAGTAGTAAATGAAAGGGTCGAGGCAGCTATTCAGGCAGCTTAAACAAAGAGACAGTTTGTAGGCCATGTAGAGAGACCGATCATAGAAAAGTTTCAGCACACTGTGAGTCAACAGGAGGATGTTGTTTGGAGCAAAGCAGAAGGTGAAGACCAGGAGAACAACGATGACCAGACGTATCGCTCTCTTTTTCTGGGTTGTCTTCTTGGAATTTTTGGCCAGTTTGAGTATCACTCTGACATAGCAAAATGTCGTGACACAGAAAGGGAAGAGGAAAAGGAAGAACACCATGCTGAAGAGAAAAGTCGCCCAGGCAGCCTTTGACGGTAGCATTTCTTTCTTCAGCATGTCAAAACATGTGGTGATCTTGAGTTCAGGGATGTAAAAGGTCAGGTCTGTGGTCATCAGCGGGTGCAGAACACACAGGACTAAACCCCACATGAGGAAGCAGCTGATGATAGCGATGGACTTTTTCTTCCCAGTTCCAACTTTATCTCTGTAACGCATGGGCAGGATGATGCCCAGGTACCGTACAATTCCAATGGCCATCATGGTCAGGATGGAACAGTACATGTTGGTGTAGAAGACAAGGGTCAGGACACTGTAGGATACAGAGAAGAAAAGTGTTTTAGTTAATCCTTTCATCGAGCAAAATAAAAGATACAAATATAGAATAAAGCTCTCCGTTTTTTTTTAAATGGACTATGAAACCTTAGCTAGCAGCTGGAAAATGTAGCTTAGCGTAAAAAATGGAAACAGGCAGGAAAAGTTAGCCAGGTTACAAAAACCATAGGCAAGAAAACTAAAATGGGATATATTTTTGTTAAAGGGCCCATGTCATGGCCATTTCCACTGATCATAATTCCATTGTTGAGGTCTACTAGAATATATTTATATTGTGCAATTTTCCAAACTCACATTGGTTTCTCGTACAGCATCTCTGTAAACTACGTGTATTCACTCTCTGCCTTTAACGGCTCGTTGTAGCTCCAATAGCTCCAGCCCCCACCCTCCCTGTGAGCACAGTGTGCTCTGATTGGTCGGGACGTTGTGAATCGCGCTGAGCTCCGTGGAGGTGTTGTTTCCTTGTTAGCGATACACAGCCAAACACAGCCAAACTCATCCTGAGCACACACAAAGTCACAGCCGAAGTAAAAACAATAAGTGTGGCTTGATATTGAGTAAGAAAAAGGTTGATAAACGCTGTGAGAATGGGTCTGCAGAGAGAATTTCGCCACGATCCCAACTGTCTGTTATCAGCCTGCAGCCAGGGAGGAGAAATCAGCTGAGCTGTCTGCTCCCTGCACACAGATGTGTGTGTGAGGAAGTCCGTGGATTGGTCAATTTGGACCAATCAGCGGGGGCTTAACGTAACGGCTCCGCGGACGTAACGTAACGGCTCCACGGATTGGTCCATTTTGTTCCGGGTACGGCTTGACATCATGCCGTACCCGGAACGAAATGGAAGAATCAAATGGACAATGACGTATCTCCAACGAGGCGTTTTGGGGAGGTATTTTCTGTGTTAGAGTTTTAGTCGCTACAGGGTGTACTTTGAGGGTTTGTGACTCTGCACACCGTTTACATGCATAAAAACCTTCATAACACACAAGGGGACGGGTAATAACCGGAAAAGCATGACATGGGCCCTTTAAATCCTTACAAGAAGTGTGAAAAAGACCAGGGGCCGTTCTCATTTCATCAAATCCCCCTCCTCGACTCCTTGGTCCTCCGGTAGTGACCCGGAAATGAATTTTAGCGCGCCATGTTGAAGAACATCTCATTTCTCTAAATGCACATCGAGGACCGAGCATCGAGCGCCGAGGAGGCTCTCTGGAGGAGCTATAACCGAGGATACACTGATCTGTCCTCCACGGCTCCTTCGTGGATGCATTTCCGGGAACAGAGATGTTTCAAAGAGTCGTGACGCACGGCCGGACTTATCTCAGCCAATGACAGCTCTGCATGCATCCCCTGGATATTATTTGATGAACTGCTTTCATCGCAACGCAATGTTTACAGTGAGAACAGCTGTGAGGTCCGTGCAGAAAGCAGAGCAGTGTGTATAATATATATCACTCAGTATAACAGGCCTACTCTCTTTATTTGCTTTAGTTTAGTAGATATCTACAAACAAAGAGTCGATATTTTTCTAAAACCATTTAGTGCTTCACATAATAAAATACACAACGGCTGTAGCCTGATGATATGCTTTAGGAGCTGTAGGTGCGTGTGTGTGGTGTAGGTGTGTGTGGTACTGTGTGTAGGTGTGTGTGTGTGTGTGTGTGTGTGTGTGTGTGTGTGTGTGTGTGTGTGTGTGTGTGTGTGTGTGGTGTAGGTGTGTGTGGTACAGTGTGTGCGTCAGGGGCGTCGCCTGGACCTGAAAACATTCGGGGCTTAGCCCACAGTGGCGGCGGCACTACAGTGGCATTTTTCACTGCAACACTCCCCACACGCACACACACAGTACACCCGCAACTGTTACAATGAAGGCTCGATAATCAGCTCACGGCATATAGGCAGGGGTAAAGTGGTATTTTTTATGAGTGGGGGGCTTACCTCCTCTAGGAGGGTCCGGGGGGATGCTCCCCCGGGAAGACTTTTTTTTAAATATTGAAGTTAAATGCATCAATCTGGTGCACTTTGAGAGCAAAATGAAGAGATCTATGGATACCTCTCTCAACACCCATATGAAGCAGAACTGTAAACAGATGTACTTTTTCTTTATGGATATTTTACTAATCACTCCTCTTTTAAACTCTATTCTTGTTTTACTGCCATATAGTATTTCATAACTGTTTTTCCTTTATTCTCTTATTTTTTGTA